GCCACGGCGCCTTTGTTCTTGCAGTCCTGTCTAAGATGGTTTTACATTATGCATTAAGACAACTCACTTTTTACTTAAGTTGCTCACATATTGTAAGGACATGGAAAATTTTTAAGGAACTCTGTGCTTGCTTAGGAGCTGGTTAGGGCACTGGGATCAAATGCAAGGCATCTAGGACTAGTTGAAAACAGGATGTCTAACTAGGACACTGAGCTCATAGCTCAGACCACAAAGTGTTCCTGGCAGCAGGCCACCTGTTAACACCTACCTCTGTGGGCTATCAGGGAGCAGGAAAATCAACCGCTTTGGGGAGGGCTTTGGGGAGGGGGCCTGCTAGGCATAACTACTTTGGAGAGGGGGCCTGCTAGACATAACCACTTTGGGGAGGGGGCATGTTAGAGATAAGACACACCTGCTGTTATACAAGACCAACTCCCTTGACCCAGAATGAACCTGGCTTGCGGTTTTTGCCTATATAATGTCAACCCCAAATGATGAGGGGCTCTCTTCCCCACTGTACTGCGTCGTGAGTAGTGGACAAGTCCCCAGCCTGGCTGACTAGCACATGTGCACTGAATAAACCTTGCTTTGGCATTCTGGACTTGACTGGATCCCAGTGGTCTCTCTGGGGGTCGCGACTTGGGTACAACAATATCATCACCCTTGTGGGAGACCCTACTTGACACCCCCTGCCTAAAACACTGTCTGATTTTGGCATCATTCTTCTCTTCTCTTCACCTCTCCACTCTTCCCACACTTTCTGCTTTGTCTTTCCCCAACATACCCATTACCTGGTAACACAGTATAAATATTAGTGTTGTTCCTCTCTGTTGTGTTTTGCTGTGCTAGAATGTAAGCTCCACAAGGACAGATTTTTGTTGGCTTTCCCCCACACTGTTGCATTACCAGCATTCTTAACAGAGCTTAAAATAGGAGGCTTATCTTAAACTTCGCTAAGAGCACCAAGCACCAGCGTTATTTTGATGATACATGAATGGACATACGAAACATTTGAAACTGTGTCTGGCAAGCGCTAGACTCTTAGTATGTAACTGATCCAGCATACAAAGAGCAATGAAATAAACTAATCCAGAAGCAAATAGAGTTGTTAATTTAGTATACAAGTGTATAATACATAATTTTTTCAAAATGAGAAAAGAATCAAATTTTAGAGTAATCTGCTCATAATTTGTAGCTAAAAAAGTCAAATTTACCCACTTTGATCACTTATATTTAAATTCACTCTTTAAAGACCAAAGATTCAAATGAAAAGTTATAGAAGTATTAGAAGGAAATGGGCTATAGGGGACTAGGTATCTGGAGAACCTCTTGACATATGAGTGACTAGACCATACAAGAATCTAAAACAAATATTACCATGTAAATACTAAAGATAGCCATATGAGCAGCAGCAGAACATCAACGGGTATACAATACAGATGTTGTAATGACTAACTGAAGGAAAGAGGGAAAGTCAAGGGGGAACTGGGGATACTGAAAAAAATGTAAAAAACGCTAACTAGAAAATGCAAGTGCCCAATAGTAAGTATGTAAATGTAAATTCAATGCAGCTGACATCTCAGCTTTAAATATTTATTCACCTTTCAGCAGTATTTTATTGTTTATTTATTTTGGGATTCTTGAGACTGGCTCTCACTGTGTAACCCAGGCAGGCCTTGAGCTCACTATGGAGCTCAGACTGGTCTTGAACTCACATGTACCTCTGCTTCCAGCCTCCTACGTGTTGGGTTATAGGCATGCCTGACGTCTGGTGCAATGACATTCTTATGTAGAAGTCTTTGTAATTCTAGTAGTGTCTGCCAGTCAGTTTGCCAATGTAAATAATCATGTAAGAGTAATACAAAGCAATATACACTGGCACAGGTTTTTGAACCCAGAACTTGGAGGCTAGCCAGGGCTACATTTAAAAACTCAGGCAATGGCAATGATACAGCAACGATGAAAAGTCACGTGGATTATTTAATATTACAAAATGAGTGTTGTCAATGAAATAAATGAGAGAAAACTGGAAACTCAAAGGATGGTGACAGCCAGTTTGGAAGAGTTGATGATAAAACCTACTGTGTCTGGGAAGTGTTAGGACCAAGTGTCTTGGCTCTGGGCAGTCTGGGGCTGGTGAGGCAGAGTTCTACGATGCAGAAGCAGTGTAAGAAGGCACCTGACTTAAAAAGGTTGTCATGGGTGAGGAAACACCAAGGATAGCAGCAGGTAACAGAGGGAGACAATCTCCTGAAAGAGCCCGAGACAGGCTCTTTGTGTATCTTGTCCCCATCTGTGTGAGTCCAGACTGTGACAGGAGAGCACGGGCCATTGTTACCTGCCGCGGTTGGATTAATGAGCACCAATGATACTAGGTATTTGAACAAGTTAAATAACAAAACCAGACTCACGAAACCAAGGTTCCAGCAGAGTAGCCTGCGGAGACAGGAAGGGACGCTCAGCATCTGCACGCCCTATTTATCAGTAAACTTACGCCCGAGGGCAGCCCGCCCCCAAGGGGAGGGCTTATCCCTACAGTTGCCCACCTCAGTTAGATTTTAAAAAGGTGGAATTACCAGTAAAAGTGGAAGTAGAGAACATAAATGTTATGGGTGATGACAAGTAAGGGAGAATTTATGGGAAAATCATGAGCTAAAATCTTAGTGGTAAATGGGTGATCCTGCACATGCCTTTAATCCCAGTACTTGGGAAGCAGAGGCAGATCTCTGTGAGTTTGAGGCTATCCTGGTCTACATAGCAAGTTCCAGGACAGCCTGAGCTGCACAGTGAAACCCTGCCCGGGGATAGGGGGAGAATCATAGTGTAAATGAAGAAGGTGACAGAAAAGGTAAACTCCATTAGCTGACTGGATTTCCAAAGAGAATCTATGCTGACACATTCCAGGGAAAGCACAGGGGAAAGACAATGGTCTGCAAACCACAAGTAGAGAAGAGATTTCTTCTTTAATAAGTGCAAGTCTTCAGTAAAGGAAATCAATTGGGGGGGAGGGAGGATCATTAATCTCAGCGCTTCATCCAGCGTCAGACTGCAACTGTTGAGTGGCAAAAACCAAAGGAAAGTGTAACACGAGCCACAGTTAGCGAGCAAGGAGAAGACCTGGAAAATACAGTCTGACCCAGGAGAAGTCAGTAACGGGAGCACTGGCCAACTCTGGGGGAAGTTAGCCTGCTGGTGGCTTGAGCCCACAGGTTGCCCTGCTCTTTTGCAGGTAATGAGGAATTTTCACTTTCTTTGGAGCTGGAAGAATGATTAATTTTGCTGACAGAATATGAAACAGAGTGTCCTTTCTCCCACGATGTCCTACACCCACAGTCTGAGAGAAGGGAAAGACCACAAGTGTCTGGGCACCTGAGCTCAGCCTGCCCCACGTGGGGACAGGAAGCTGCAGACCACAGTGGTCAGGAGAGGCTCGCGGTGCAGTGCTGTGGCTGCTGGCTGACAGTGACTGGCTTCGAGAAGATACCATTCCAGTAAGGTACCGGCATCTCCTAGAGGCCCTTGATGCACTGCTGGTGTCCAAGGGAGGGCGTGTGTGGCAAGCACTTGGCATGTGCCAGTCAGGCCTTCTGGTACTGGCTTGTGGCCACCGGTGCGGGCAGAGCCACCATGGCAGTATAGAGCCCGACCTGGACAAGGCTGTGCGATGGTGCCAGGCTCTGGGAACATAACTTGGTGCCAGTGGTCTCTGGAACAGCTAAGGGCAAAGCCTGGTTTGGCCTGATGAACTGCCAAGTTGTCCCCAGATGCATATTCTTTGGGCTGTCCTCTCTGCACCGTGGACTCTGGCATACCCTGCTTCAACAGCTGCCTGCCTCTGCTGGGGGTTTCTGCAGAGACTGGCTGAGGACTCCCCTTGGGGCTCTCCTTCAGGTTCCCTTGAAGTTTTGCTTCATGCCTGCTCTTCTCCCTGGAAGGCTTGCCAGAGCGTCCTCTATGCTTTCCTAGCTCCCAAAGCTGCCCTGTGTCCGGACAGCACTTCCTCACTGTCTTTGCTTCATTTAAAGCTTGGTTGTTTTTAAATTTTCCTGTGACTTTCCAAACTTTTACCCATTCCCCGCTCTGCCTAGATGTAGATGTTTTTACTAATGCTAACAATTTAGCATTTATGCAGAAATACTGATGTTAGTGGTGGTGGTGGTGATTTCAATACGGAGGAGTGATTACTCCAGGTTGAGAAGACGTGTATGTGTGTGGGAGAGAGAGAGAGAGAATAAAAGGATGATGCATTTGAAACATCATTTTTCATTGATTTAATAATAGGCATATAATAAGTTTGTGTTAATTAAATTATTTTTAAACTAAACAAAATGGAACATCAACCATTTTAATTAGAAAACTTTGTAGGGTCAAGCACCACCGTAGGCTCAGGTGTCACCCACACCCTGGAACAGTGACATGCAGACTCTACTGAGTGAGTTCTGTCTAGCCTGAAGTCATGAGGTTTTGATGCATTTCCCAGAATGGGCACCAAAAAGACATCAACAGGCCCTAAAGACAATAAGATTTGTATTCTGGAAACCCAACAGCTCTGGCAATCTGGGTTGAGCTCCAACAGTAACAAATAAATGAAAGATGGAGTTGGAGACAAAGAATTGATCTGCCCTGTGAAGAAATTCCTGCTCTGCTATGCAGGATAGCACTGGGGTCCATTTCTCAGCAGCTGGGCAGCTGTAGGAGGTCTCAGGGTTATGCTCCACTGTAGTAAAAACAGTACTTGACTGGACCTTGACCAGCATCAAAATGTATATGGTGCCCGAGAACCCAACTATATGGGCAGCAATTGCTATTGTTTTCTTCTTCCAGCCAGCAGCCTTGGCTTCAAGATGCTGTCCGGATTCCAGCTGATGCAAAAGCCCAGGAACAAATTTTGTCTTTGCAGTAGACCACCCTCTCCCTTCTTCAAGGAAGGCCTCCTTCAGCCCCTAGCTGAGTCTCTTCTCAACCCCTATTTCTCACCTCCCTATTCTGTCCCATTTAGCATGTGGACCTTCCTGGGGAGACCTGAGTGTATTCTGTGTCTGTTTTCTGCCTTGTCCGTGATAGCTCCGTCCAGGGATAAGCAGTTACCCAGGTAAGTATATTTCATACCACTGTAGAGGTCCCATGTAAGGTATACCTAGAGTCCCCAAGGAAAAAGCTTTTTAAAACTCTTGTGTGTGCGAATGTGCACACAAGCATATGATGGATATGTGCATGATTGTGTGCATGTGACATGGTGCATGTGTGGAGGTCAGAGGACATCTTCAGATGTCAGTCATTGATTTCTACCTCGTTGGAGACAGGGGCTCCCTTGTTGTCTACCGCTTCCATAGATTCTCCTCTCTCTGCCTCCCATTCCCATAGAAGGGTGCTGGGATTAGACACATGCACTGTTACGTTTGACATGCGTGGCCTTTACCTGGATGCTGGGAATCTGTAAGCACTTTCCACATTGAGCCACAATCGTAGCTCCTTTCTCTTCCTTTTCCTCCCTCCCTCTCCTTGCTTTCCTCTCCTCGCTGCTCTTTCTTTGGAAACAGAGCAGGCTTTATATCCCAGACTGACTTTGAACTCCAGCTTTCCTGGGCCTTTTGGCTCAGCAACCTGTGCTCTAGATTTGAACACCTTCTTGTCCTTGCAGGCTTAATCAAACTCACTTGACCCCCTTGTTGCTGCGGATTCGAAAGGTAGGTCTGAAAGTTGAGGGATCACAGTTCACACTGGAAGGTTCCCCATTCCGGATCCTATCTGGCACTATGGACTACTTCCGGATACCGAGGCAGAACTGGAGGCTCAGCTTGAGGAAGATGAAAGTTGGTGGCTTCAACACCCTTACCACGTGAGTTGCTGTTCCTGGTTCTTGTTGAAGAATTTGCTCAAATGAATCCTGAGACTTCATTTGAACAGTCATTTTTAGATTAGTAGTAAGAAGGATAATTATTAGTTAGGGTTTCCTAAAGGGACAGTATACATACATACATACATACATACATACATACATACATACATAATACATACATACGGGATTAATAGAGTGGTTTACTGTAGTCTGAGTAGGATGTGTCCTGGTGGAAAGGCCAAGGATCTGAGAATTGTTCAGTCCATGAAACTGGGTGCCTTCGCAGCCCCAATCTGGTGCTCGAGTCCCACGAAAGTTCTCAAGAGTTGCAAAGTTCTCTTCAGTCTGCATTGGAATCCCATAGAAACTGGTTCTAATACCATCAAAGATAAACTTGCCAGCAATAGAGAGGGAAAGCAGGCAAAAATCAAATGCTTCCTTCTTCCATGTCATCTTTCGTGGGCCGTCCAAATTTTAGAGTGAGTCTTTTGTCCTCAGATGATCTACATTTGAGGCATCTCTTCCCACCTCAAATGATCCATTTAAGAGAATCCCTCACAAGCATGGTAGATGCTTGAGTTTTAGTTAATTCCAGATTTAATCATCATTAGTGGTTAAAAAAATGGCCCTCAAAGGGAGTGTCACTATAAGCAAGTGTGGTCTTGTTGGAGGAAGCGTGTCACCGTGGAAGCCGGTTTTGAGGTCTCATATATGTTTAAGCCACACCCAGTGTCTAAGACGACTTCCTATTACCTGTGCAAGATATATAACTCTCAGCTACTACCTCTCCAGCACCATGTCTACCTGCCTGCATGGTTCCCACCTTGATGATAATGGACTAAATAAACCTCTAAACTGTAAGCCAGACCCCAATTATATGTTTTCTTTTATAAGAGTTGCTGTATCATGGTGTATCTTTACAGCAATAGAAACCCTAACTGAAACAACCAAGATTAGTCATCATGATCTTGAGAGATGGCTCAGAGGTTAAGAGCACTGGCTGCTCTTCCAGAGGGCCTTATTTCAATTCCCAGCAACCACATGATGGCTCACAATCATCTATAATGGGATCTGGTACCCTCTTCTGGTGTACACTCATACATTCAGGCAGAACACTACATACATAATAAATAAATCTTTAAAAAAAAAAGATTAGTCATCATATCAAGCTTGTGGAATAGGCCTAGAATCTATATTTAGGAAAAGGAGCCAGGAGAATTGTTTAAGACCAGTTCCAGTTACATAGAAAATGGAAACTAGCCTAGGCTGCATAATATTTGTCAAGAAAACAAAACAACAAACACAACCAATCAATCAACAATCAAAAACCACCACCGAAATAGCAACTAACCAGAAAGGTGTGCAGTATATCATGGATGTCTTGGGGTACCTATTTGCTACCATGAAACAGATTTGTCAAGTAGAGAGGAGACTGGAAGCAGACTTCTTTCACGCTGGCTACGATTCAGGGAAATGGTCTCCTTAGAGCCTTTGCTGAGAAAATCTTCTGTGTGCCTGTCAAATGGTCACTGTCTCCCTCCACAGAAGGAGCAGAAGGGAACATTCCTCAACTCTCTACAGTGAGAATTTATGCTCCAGGAGGTAAACATCATTAAAATGTGGGGACCACACCCCACAAGCCTTTCCCTATCTCAGCGTTTTTAAACCACTAAGATTATCTGCACTGAATCTAAGCTTGTGAGGTGAAGTTTGAGTTTTCTTAAGCAATGTGGGCTCCAGCAAAGGCTTCTCTTTGTGAGGACCAGCTCCTGCTAGGCTGTGTTCTCAGAATCCTCTGTGGTAGTCAAGTTTCTCCTGGGAAGCACAATCAGCAGGTGTCTTAGGTTTCTATGGCTGTGATGAAACACCATGACCAAAAAGCAAGTTGGGGACGAAAGGGTTTATTAGGCTTACATTTCAGCATTGCTGTTCATTACTCAAGGAAGTCAGGATAGGAAGTCAAAGAGGGCAGGAATCTGGAAGCAAGAGCTGATGCAGAGGCCATGGAGGAGAGCTGCTTACTGGCTTGTTACTGTTTGAGAGATTCAGTCCATTAACATCATGTCAGGGAGCATGGCTGTGTGCAGGCCGACATGGTGCTAAAGCTGAGAGTGCGTCATCTTGCAGGGAACAGGAAGTCACTGACTGTCCCACTCAGGGAAACCTGAGAAAAAGACCTCACAGCCCACCCCCACGGTGACAAACTTCTTCCAACAAGGGCACACCTTCCAATAGTGATATTCCCTTTGGGTGCCATATTTCTTTCAAACCACCACAGCAGGTAAAGGGTGGTTATAATGAATTGCTCACAAAGTTGTGGGGGATGGGAACTCTTCATGGCTGCAGTTAGGAGGTTGGAAACTCTAGACAGAAGAGAGTGAACTTGCTTTGAAGTCTTTAGGCTTACGAGCAAGATGTCTGATGGAGAAAGTTCCAGTTCAAAAGCAGGCAGAGTCTAAACCCCAAAACAAGGGCTAAGAGCAGCAATACACACCTGTGAGCCTAACACATAGGAGGTCGATCAGGAGTATCACAAGCATAAGGTCAGTCTGGGATATATAGTGAGACCCTGCCACAGAACAAAACTCAAGAACAAAACTGAAAGATTGTTTTGGAGACTCACCCACATGGCTACATATACTGCTTTTTTTCATTTAAAAAAAAACCACATGGAATTCTAAGGATAATCACACTACAATGTGTTTATCATATAGATATATAATATGTTTTTATCATATATATAATCTTGTGTATACATCTTGCTTATCTTTTATCTTGTGTATATATACATATATAATATATATTCAGTATATAATATTACATATGCATTTATATAAAATGCGTGTATATATGTGAAATATTGTAGATAAAAAGAAATAGAATGCATATGACAAAAAGATGTTAAAGTAACCCACAGAACAGCATGAGAAGTTGTCTACCAGAACTGGATCTGCAGTAAACAGACCTGCGGAGGTCGGAAGAGGACTCCAGGAACTGAGGTTATGGATAGTTGAGGATACTGGGAGTCAAACCTGGGTCCTCTGCAAGAGCAACAAGTACTTAACCACTGAGCCATCTCCTCTGTTGAGATTCTTGAGGCAGATTCTATATATAGTTGTTTTGATTTTTTTAAATCAAATTTGGAGAAGTTTGTTTGTTTTGTTTTGTTTTGTTTTGTTTTGGTTTGGTTTGGTTTGGTTTTTGAGAGGGTTTTTCTGTAGCTTTGGGGCCTGTCCCAGAACTAGCTCTTGTAGACCAGGCTAGCCTCAAACTCAGAGATTACCCTGCCTCTGCTTCCCATGTGCTTGGATTAAAGGAGTGCACCACCACTGCCTGGCAGAGAAGTTTGACTTTTTTCCACTACATTCCTTGCTGTAGGGCTCCAATGACCTGTATGTTAGATCCTTGACCAGTTCTCACATTCCATTAAAGCACTATTTATTCAATCTTCTTTTTTATCCTATTATACTTTTCAATAGCTTCATTCATTATAACTTTCTTTTTTAGGGGGTTGGAGGGAGTTTTGTGAGAGGATATTTTATTTCTTTTTCTTTATTATACTCAGAATATCTTCCATTACTCTCTCTCTCTCTCTCTCTCTCTCTCTCTCTCTCTCTCTCTCTCTCTCTCTCTCTCTCTCTCTCTCACACACACACTCCACTGAACTAGGTGCACAGCCCTTTTTACTTTTCATTTTGAGACGGGGTCTTGCTAAATTGCTGATGTTACCCTTGAACTCTCTACCAGAATTAGTCATTGAACTGTGCATCCCTGTGCCTTATCACCCGTATCTGGAAATAAGGACATGACATGTGTCACCAGGTCTGGTATTTTTTGTTTTTGTTTTCTTTTGTTTTGTTTTTTGGCAGACTCTCACTATGTAGCCTAGGCTGGCCTCAAACTTGAGAGCCTCTCCATTCAGCCCCCAAAGTGATGCTATTATACGCATGTACCACCACACCCAACAGTTTGTGTGTGTGTGTGTGTGTGTGTTTTTTTTTTTTTTTTTTTGGTTTTTCCAGACAGGGTTTCTCTGTGGCTTTGGAGTTTTTGTGTGTTTTTAAGGTTGCTTTTCACACAGGGCTTGCTATATAGGCAACTGGCCTTTAACCCATGATCCTCCTGCCTCAGGCTCCTCCATGCTTGCAATGCAGGTGCCACACTGGGGGCTTCAGTGTGGAAACATTCCACTTTCTCCAAGTGAAAGACGCTTGCTTCTAGGATAAAACTAGAGCAGTCAGTACTGAAGAAGTGCATGATGGGAGAGCTTCTTATGTTCCTCTTTTTCCACATGACAGGCATGTTCCTTGGAACCTCCATGAGCCAACAGTGGGCCAATTTCACTTCACTGAAAACTTGGACCTCATGTATGTATTCATACTTTAATTACTTGACTCTGAAATTCAGATAGGGATGTGCTTGGGGAACTGGGTGAAGGAATGGCTGTATAGCCTGCTTCTTGGTTGTTTTTGTCGTTGTTGTTGCTGCTGTTGTTGTTGTTGTTTTGAGGAAGGGTCTATTAGACCATGTAACTCCACCTAGCTTGGAATTCTCTATGTAGATCAGGCTGGTCGCACATTCACAGAGCACTGCTTGCCTCTGCTTTCTTACTCCTAGAATTAAAGGTATGTGTCATCAACCCTTGGCCTATAATTCTGTTTTAATAGCCAGCCAAAAGCTCTAAGAACTTTTTGCCTGACTTGAAGCCTCCTTGAGTCATTGGTATATGGCTTATACAGGCCATAGCCTACTATTACAGTATGGTCTGCATCTTGTTTTAGCCGGCATCCTACAGAATGCATCAAGAAGAACCTGCTCTCTTAGCTATAGTGTCAGACTTCTGAGCTATAGTTTATAGTGCAGAGAGAAAGGCCAATACAACATATTGAGGCAATACAACCTATTCCAGAACCAGCTAGGGTCAAGTCAGGAAAGACAGTGGTGATGACAAAGTTGAGTCAAGTTTAGAAGTTGCTCAGAAGTAAATGGGAAGGGACTGTGTGCAGCAGAGGCAAAGTCAGAGACGTGAAAAAGCAGTTCATGTCACTCAAGGTGATGTTAGATGCTGTAACATGTAAGCCTCACGTCCCTGCAAAAGTAAAAGTCTGTTTTCATTTAAATGGGATCTTTCTGACTGGCATATTTTTCTCTTCTAATAAATAATACTGAAAGAGAATTCAGGGTACCTTTGTCTTAAATCTTCAACACTGTTGTCTAAGTCATTGTCCATTTGGGTACTGAGTCCACAAGAGAAAGAAAGAGAAAGGGAAAAGAAGGAAGGAAGGAAGGAAGGAAGGAAGGAAGGAAGGAAGGAAGGAAGGAAGGAAGGAAGGAAAGAAAGAAAGAAAGAAAAAAAGGAAAGAGGAAGAGAGCTGCTATGCCAAGCCATTACTTTGAGGAAAATGTCACTGTGACTGCTTTCTTTCCAGAGCTTTTGTCACCATGGCTTCAGACGAGGGGCTCTGGGTCATTCTGTGCCCAGGTCCCTACATCGGCAGTGACCTGGACCTTGGAGGCTTGCCCAGGTGAGTTGTGGTCTGAAGGTCCCTGGGTGGGAAGCACATTCACAGGGCTTTATTTCTGGATGTATTTAGAAAACTTACACCATTTTGTTTCCTGATGGCAGGTACTTACAGGTACGGTTTTGAATCTGGCTGTTTTCTCTTAATTAACACTTTCAAAGTTTAAGCATGTGGTAGCAGGACCATTTATCTGTGCTGTTTTCCTTTTTCTAGCTGAGTATTTTCCGGGATGGTCAGGTTCTCCATCCCTCACACACACAAACCAAGAACCTCCAAACAGCCTTATGACTGTCTCATTCTAGAATACAGGCTGATAATTTTTTCCTGAAAAAGGCTAGATAGTAATCCCAGCTGAGATGCAAGGATGGTCACAAATTTGGGGCCATCCTGGGCTGCATAATGATGTAGGCTTCTAGGATAGTCAGTGCTATTTAGTACGATTTTGATACAAAGTCCTAATTGCAAATATTTTAGGTTTTCCAAGCCACATTCAGCCTCTGTAATTAGCCTGAAAACTGAAGAAAAGTATGTGAACAACTGGGTACAATTGTGCTGACAAAACTATTTAATGATCAGAGAGCAGGTCAGACTTGGCTTTTGGGCTGTACTTTGGTGAGCTCTGTCTTGAATCACAGTTACAAATTCCCCTAGCCCCCACATCTTTGGGGCATGGGGATGTTCTCATAGGCAGAGACTGCTCTTTCTTGGAGCTGGACCACATCCCCACATCTCACCGTCTCTATGGCCTTGCAAACAGGGGCCCTGTGTTAGATCTCCTTTGCCGTAGTGTTTCCTATCACCGGTTCCCATCCTGAGTCTGAATCTCACCTTTTCAATCACAGCTGGTTACTCAAGGATCCCAAAATGAAGCTGCGGACAACTTACAAGGGATTCACCAGAGCGATGAATGAGTATTTCAATCATCTGGTTCCCAAGATAGCAATGTTCCAGGTAAAATCCAGTCCTCGTCTCTGCTGGTAAGGGAAGTGATTGCCAGCTTAACTTCCTGGCTCATTGCGGCTTGTTGCTTGCTCCTTTCTGTGCTCTGAGAAGCAGGGAGCATATGCTGGCTACTGTGTGTGTTTGCAGCCAGGATTTCCAGGTTCTTTCTAGGGAAGCTTCTGCCTTTAGACTCTAATAGGACATGATGGCTCATGCTGTATTTCCTGCCTTTGACAGTTGAAGTGACAGGATCCGGCCTGAGCTACCTATTGAGACCCTGTCTCAAAGCAGGGACAGGATCTGGATTTAATTACTCTCCTTTTCTCTTCCCACACCAGCTGTTAAATTCTGCTCTATCTATCTATCTATCTATCTATCTATCTATCTATCTATCTATCTATCATCTATCTACTGATCGATTGTGTGAGATGGAACTCAGGTCATCAGGTTTTGTGGTAATTTTTTTTTTTTTGCTTTAAGATGGCTATCTTGGCTTCCCAGTTTGACTTTTTCAATATTTATTTTTATCTTACCTATAACTATATGTGTGTGTGCATATGTATGTATGTATCTATGTATGTATGTATGTATGTACTGTCATGCTTGGTGCATAAGGAACCTGAAAAGGGTGTTGGATCCCCTAGAACTGTAATTACAAAGAGTCGTAAGCTACCATGTGTTTCTGGGAAATGAACCCCAGTCCTCCTGAAGAGCATCAAGGGTTCTTAGTTATTGAGCCATCTCTCCTGCCTCTCTTTGCCACCCTGAGTTTGACTTTTGAATTTGAGTCTTAGATCTTTTCCTGATCTAACAATTAGTGTTGTAAGGTTTTCTTGCATTATTAGGCAGTGGTAATGGGTTCACAGATCCTGGTCAGCCATGCTCTCCCAAGGAAAATAATGTGTCCTCTAGTGATTTGGGGTTCTCAGCTGCAATCCTCGGTGTTTAGTGTCTTTGTACCAAACAATATTTTCTTATCTTTTTTTTATAAAAAGGTTTTATTTATTTTCACATGTCTGAGCCTGGATGAATGTCTGTGCACCACATGTGTACATTGCCCAAGGAGGCCCTTGGGAGTGAGTTGCAGAGAGTTGTGAGCCACAGTGTAGGTGTTGGGAGTTGAACCCAGGTCCCCATGAACAGAAGCCAGTACTCTTAGCCTCTAGTCCCTCTCTCCAGCCCCAAAACAATATTTTCAATTTAGGTTGGCTTCAGTTGAGACAGAACTGCACATTAGGCTGAAGAATGTCTATTCCATGTAGAAAATGAGTAGAGAGTGATAAATTTTAATTACTTTGGTCTCAGTTAGGATTTCTGTGGCTGTGAAGAGATAACATGAGCACAGCAACTTTTAGAAAGGAAAAGTTTAATCAAGACTGGCTTACAGTTGAGAGGTTTAGTTCGTTATCATCATGGCAGGAAGCCTGGCAGCATGAAGGCAGATATGGTACTGGAGAGGTAGCTGAGAGTTCTGCATCTTGATCTGCAGGCATCAGGAAGTGACAGTGACACATTGGCCAGGCTTGAGCTTCTGAGACCTCAATGCCCACTCTCCTAGTGACACACCTCTTGCAAAAAAGTCACACCTATTCCATCAAGGCCACACCTCCTAATAGTGCCACTCCCTATGGACCTATGGGGGCCATTTCCATTCAAACCATCACAAAATCAGTACTTACCAAACTTATTTTATCCTCACAGTAATTATTTTAGATTAGTATATATTAAATGGAGGCAATGCCAAAACATGCGTTTGTTTAGATGAATGTTTCACATGGTTGAACTTTTTGGGGGAATAGACTATCATTGCTCCAGAAAGCTATTAAAACTCATAAGTGACCAACTACACAAGCCAGTGCACATTTGAGAGATAGGCAAGATGGCCTTTTTCAGAGACATGGTGTCCATAGACACATGTAGCTACCTAAATTAATGTAAACAAAGTACAATTAGAACTTAAGTTTCCAGGGCACATACTTCTTCTTCACTGTACCAATAACTACAAGCAACTGGTTGCTATTATATGGACAGCATACAAATAGAATCTCAGGTTTTGGTAGAGTGCCTGCCTTCCACAAAAGCCCTGAGTTCAATCCTCAGCATCTCATAAACCAGTGTGGTTTTCCAAGTTTGCAATCCCAGAAGTTATGGGGTAAAGGCAATAGGGCCAGAAGTTCAAGATTGTCTTCCTGGTCATAAGGAGTTTGAGACAAGAGACCCTGCCTCAAAAATTAAAAAAAAAAAACAAGCTGGGTATGGTGGTGTACATGTTTAATCTCAACACTTAGGAGACAGAGTCAGGCAGATCTCTGTGAGGTCAAGGACAAACCATCTACATAGGGAATTCCAAGCCAGTCAGGGCTCCATAGTGAGAACCTGTTTCCAGAACAGAACTGAACAGAAGACAGCCGTTTGTGCTCACCCTTCCTAAGTTAGAATACTGCAGCCTTGAAACTTCAACCTGGAATCCCTAAGTGAGTTTTGCCTCATCCAGGGATGAGTTTTGTCCAGGTGATGTTGAGAGCTCTTGGAACACCCCCTGCAGCCTCATGGGTCAGTACACCCATACTACTGAGCATTCCTCTCTAGAATGTTTCAATCAAATTTATCACATTCCAGCTCTTCTGCCTCAGGTCATTCTGGGTCCTGACAGCTTCTGAATCTTTCTTCTTTTCTGCTCTATTCTTCATCAGAAAGATAAAGAGCCTAAGACAAAAGAGAAGAAGCTGCTTTTGAAAGTCTTTCCATGTTTGTCAGCTAAGAGTATGCACTTTAGAAAATTAAAGCACACCTTTAATCTTGGTGTCCTTTTTACTTCCCTGCTAAATAACTTAGGGATGATGCTTGCTTGCTTAGGATAGATGCTTGCTCACTATCTTCCCATTTCAACTCTGGCTGTCTTGAGTATCTCCTCAGTCATTATGGTCAGATTTGGGTGTGCAAACACTTCAGTCAAAGGAGTACAGAATCCTGGACACTCCCATGTCGCTAACATTGTCATGGAGTTGAATTCCTTAGAGTGTCTTTCTCCCCACATGTGAGACACCTTCTGGTTAGCCTACATGTTCCTGAAGGAAGTTTGAGGAAATAGTTTAAGTTTGGCTATGAAAGTGAAAAGGACAAGATGGAATCAATAGAGAGGCTGGTGGTCCATGCAAGTTAATCTTCACGTAGGACCTTAAAGCATCTTAAATGAAGATGACGGTGCCAAAAGCAGTGTCCCTAATGTGAAACTCTTGGGTGATGGGGAGGGTGTCTCTGGAAGTTTGAGCCCTCACAATGAACATATTAAAGTATGCAGAAATGGTGGTTTTTCAGGGGATACTTTTAAAGGAACTATTTTGGAAGCATTTGACTTCTCACATAGAGGCACTGATGGTGAATGAAAGAAATGACCAACACTGAGGTACAGTCTGGAGTTGGGTGCGCTGTTATTGTGTGTGTGCCTAGAATTCAGAAAATCCAGTCTTATTTAATCCCATCAATATCTCATTCTTCTATTCTTCCCTCCTTTGACCCTCAGTATACAAAAGGAGGCCCTATCATCGCTGTGCAAATTGAGAATGAATATGGCTCCTACAATATGGATAAGAAGTATATGGCATATGTCAAAACGGTAAGTGCTCTGTTTCTGTGGTTTGTTATATTGTGGCACAAACACATCCCGGATGCCTGTAGCTTGCCTGGAACTGTGAACTGTGCGGATGGATAGGGTCCAGTTTTATGTTTGATCTTTGGTTATATTCTAGTCAATGGCCTGGCAATAACACGGATGGCTCTGACAGATTGCAGAGACCCACACTAGGACAGCTTCACTCTCTAGGACTCTCAGCTTCCTTCTGAGTGACATTTAACATGTGCTTCTCCATTCTTTTACTTTCAGATGTAACCATTTCTTAGGATACGAATAAACAGTACATAAGTTGCACAGTTAGATTTGCTGTTGCGCTGGGAGTGGTGAATGTCAGAGGGTCGACAGTTCAAGATCACCCTCAGCTACATAGTGAGTTGGAGGTCAGCCTGTGTGACATGAGACCCTGTCTCAAAACACCACTGTCTGACTTTCCTTTTATGTGGCTGTGGTAAAATATTCTGATGAATTTAAACTCAGGCTTCAATGGCCAGTCCAGCCAGCTGGGGAAAAGTGAAATCAGCTGAGCTTGGAACAGCGGCTCGCATTACTTCTATTGCCAGGCAGCAGAGGGAGAGAGAGACATGGTTGCTCGCTAGTGCTTAGCCTGCTTTCTGCATTTTATGGAGCCCAGGATCTCCAGAGCGAGAATGATCCTGCTCACAATTCAGATGGATCTTCCTAGTTCAGTTAATGTAATTGAGACAATCCTGCATAGGCTTAAAAGCCCATCCCTCCAGTGATTCCAGATCCTGCCAGTTTGAGCGTGAACAATCACCCTTCCAACCACCAGCACGCAGGCCTTGTGAATGGGAATTAGCCTGTTGACACTCATTGCCAATACATCTGGCCTAGCTCTGGAGCATTGTTGCCTTGCGTTTGTTCCACTTCTGGCTTTGTGGTCCCATGCCCTCCTGCTGTCAGGATGACTTTGAATCTTTGATCCCCCTGCCTCCACCTCCCAAGTGCTTGGATAGGAAATGGTTATCATCACATCTAGTCTATGTGCTGCTGAGGCTGCAGTTCAAGGCTTTTTGCATGATACACAAGCACTCCACCAACAAAGTCATTCACCCAGTTTTTAAAAAATAAATTACAAAAGGTTTTAAATTGTAAAAGTTAATGTTTCTTTATATGTGTCAGGATATATGTCCCGCCATGTGCATGTGGTGGTCAGAAGACATCTTGAGGGAGCCAAGTAGGCTCTTCTTCCACCTCGTAGGTCGCAGGAATTGAATTCAAGTATCAGGCTTGTCAGCAGGTGCTGTTATGCATCCAGTCTTCTCCAGACACTGAATATTTTCACCATCCCATTTTCTAGGATCAGCTATTGCCTCTTTTCCTTACTGAGACCTCAGGCCCTTACATTCTATCTCTGTCTAGGTTCTCCAACTAAATCTTTAGGAAATACTTTGCTCAACTGTGCAGTTGTGATAGAAAAGTCAGTGGGAGCTGAGGCAGAACCTCCACAAGAGTAGGTACAAGGGAGCAACCGCCAAAGGAGCAGGCCAGAGTCAGAGACCTCTATGGAACAGGGTATGAGTCAGGGACCTCTGAGGGAGCAGACCAGAGTCAGGAATATCTGTGGGAACAAGCCTGAGCCAGCACTCTCCTCCGAAGCAAGCCTGAGTCAAGTATCTCAGCCAGAGCAGACTTGGGGCAGAGACCTCCACAGAAGCAGGCTTGAGACTGTGACCTCCTCAGGAGCAGACCTGAGGCAATGACATCCACAGGAGAAGGCACAAGGGAGTCACTGCTGAGGGAGCAGGCCCTAGCGAGAGACTTCTGCAGGTCCCACAGGTCCCACACGAGTAAGAACCTCTGAGGGAGCATGTCCAAACCAGAGACCTTGGACCAGGCCCAAACAAGAGACTTCAGCAGGAATAGGCCCAGGACAGGGATATCTACGGAAACAGGTCTGAGCCAGTGACCACTGCCAGAGCAGGCACAAGACAGCGACCTCAGCAGAAGCTGCCCCAAGCATGCAACCTCCCTAGGAGCAGGCCTGGATGACCCCCGGTATTGCAGAGCTACACCCAGGAACACCAAGTGAACTCTGGGGTGGCTGGAAGCATGCCCCTGAATGCAACACAAGGAGCAACCATCTGAGCATTGGATCCACTGGCACCTCGAAGATTGCTCACAAGAGACACAGCCCCATCTACACCAATCAGAGGAAAACATGGGTAGACAAGTTAAGAACACACTCACCACCACAAAGAGCAACATGACACCAATAAAAACTAGTGCCCTACAACAGCAAGACATGATCACTCAAATATAGGTGAAGCAAAAGAAAATGATCTAAAAATTAACTTTTAGAGAATGTTTGAGGCCCTTAAAGAGGAAATAAAAAATTCCCTCAAAGAAATGGAGGAAGAGACAAACAAAAAATTGGAAGAAGCTGGGCGGTGGTGGTGCACGCCTTTAATCCCAGCACTCGGGAGGCAGAGACAGGCTGATCTCTGGGAGTTCAAGGCCAGCCTGGTCTACAAGAGCTAGTGCCAGGAGAGGCACCAAAGCTAACAGAGAAACCCTGTCTCAAAAAAAACAAAAAACAAAAAAAATGGAAGAAATCAAGAAATCCCTTAAAGAAAACCAAGAAAAAGCAATCAAACAGATGAAAGAAATTATTCAATACTTGAAAAATCAAAATAGAGAAAATAAAGAAAATATGAACCCAGGGAATTATGGAAATTATGAGAAAGCAATCAGGAACCACAAGTGCAAGCATAAACAGCAGAATACAAGAGATAGAAGAGAGAATCTCAAGTACTGAAAATACAATAGAGAAAATAGATTCATTGGCCAAAGAAAACATTAAATCTAACAAAAGCTAAGCACAAAATATCCAGGATATATGGGACACCGTTAATAGACTGGATAAAATAGAAATTCCCTTGCCACATAAAAATCAAAACACTAAACATACAGAATACAGAAAGATTATTAAGAGCTGCAAAAGAAAAAGACCAATTAACATATGAAGGCAAACATATCAGAATTATACCTGACTTCTCAATGAAAACAATGAAAGCCAGAAGGTCCTGGTCAAGCATTATGCAGTCATTAAGAGAACATGAATGCCAGACCAGACTACTATACCCAGGAAAACTTTCAATCACCATAGAAGGACAAAACAAGATATTCCATGACAGAATCAGATTTAACCAAAATCTAGCTACAAACCCAGCCCTACACAAAGTACTAAAGGAAAACTCCAACCCAAGGAAGTTGGCTACATCCACAAAAACACAGACAATAGATGATTTCACAGCAGCAAATTCCAAAAAACACACATAATAACATCACCACCAACAAAAACTAAAATAACAGGAGCTAACAGTAACTGGTCATTAATATTCCTTAATATTAATGAACTCAACTCACCTATAAAAAGGCACAGGCTAACAGATTGGATATTAAAACAGAATTCAACCTTCTGATGCATACAAGAAACACACCTCAACCTCAAAAACAGACATCACTATAGAGTAAAGGGTTGGGGGAAAAATTCCAACCAAATGAACCTAAGAAACAAGCTAGTGTAGCTATTCTAATATTTAACAAAATAGACTTTAAATTAAAATCAATCAAAAGAGACAATGAAGGACATCTCATATTAGTCACAGGAAAAATCCATCAAGAGGAAATCTCAATACTAAACATCTATGCTCCAAATAAAAGGCACCCTCACATCTTAAAAAATAAACCCAAACTTCTAAAGCTTAAATCATACATTAAACCCCAAATACTAATAGTGGGAGAATTCAACACCCCACTCTCACCACTGGCCAGGATTGTCAGACAGAAAATTAACAGAGAAATAAGAGAACTAACAGATGTTATGACGCAAATGAACTTAACAGACATCTATAGAACATTTAACCCAAACATAAAAAAATATACCTTCTGCTCAGCAGCTCATGGAACCTTCTAAAAATTGACCAACATACTAGGTAACAAAGCAAACCACAACAGATACCAAAAAAAATTGGAATAACCTCGTATTTCTTATCAGGTCACCATGGTTTAAAATTAGAATTTAACAGCAACACTAATTCCAGAAAGTCTACAAACACATGAAAATTAAACAATGCTCACCTGAATCATCAATGGGTCAAGTGTGAAATTAAAGGTTTACTAGAATTCAATGAAAATGACCAACACATACACAAATTTATGGGACACAATGAAAGCAGTGTTCAGATGAAAGTTCATAGCACTAATGCCTACATAAAGAAGCTGGAAAAAAATCCTACAGGAGTGAGTAAACAGAACTTTTGAAAACTCTAGAACAAAAAGAAGCAAACTCACTGAGGAGGACTAAACAACAGGAATTAATCAAATTGAGAGCTGAAATCAACAAAATAGAAACAAAGAAAACAATACAAAGAATCAATGAGACAAAGAGTTGGTTCTTTAAAAAAAAAAAAAAAACAGGAAAATAGACAAACCTTTACCCAAACTAACCAAAGGCACAGAGAGAATATCCAAATTAACAAAATCAAAAATGAAAAGGGGGACATAATAACAGACATGGAGGAAATCCAAAGAATCATCAGGTCCTATTTCAAAAACCTGTGCTCCACCAAAATGGAAAACTTAAAGAAAACTGACAATTTTACGCATAAATAACACTTACAAAAATTAAATCAAGACCATAAGCAAATTGAATAGACCTATAACTGCTAAAGAAAGAAAAGTAGTCATCAAAAGTCTCCCAACAAAAAAAATATATATCCAGGACCAGATGGTTTCAGCTCAGAATTCTACAAGATTTCAAAGAAGAACTAATACCAATACTCTTCAAATTGCCCCACACAGGAGAAACAGAAGGAACATTGCCAAACTCTCTTTTTATGAGGCTACAATTACCCTGGTACACAACTCACACAAAAACATTACTAAGAAAGATAATTACAGACCAATCTCACTCATGAACATTGATGCAAAAAATACTCAATAAAATACTGGCAAATCAAATCCAAGAATACATCAGGAAAATCATTCACCATGATCAAGTTGGCTCCACCCCAGAGATTTAGGGCTGGTTCAACATACAAAAATCTGTCAATGTATGACTAATAAAGGATTGCTTTGAGCCCATAGCAGAACAGGGCAGAAAGAGCTAGGTGGGAAAAACTAAAGGGAATGCTGGGAGAAAGAAGGCAGAGGGGAATCCCACATCACCTCCCCTTTTCTGTTTAAAGAAAAAGAGGAAAGTTTTAACTTTAACATAGTAAAATTACATATAATAAGACATGTATCAAGTAAGAATTATAGTTACAATATGTTTGTTTTAACTTTATAGCATAAAAGTGGTTGCATGGGGAATGAAGCCTTCCACTCCATGTCTCAACTGAATGGTGGTATTTCCATGGCTATAGTTCTTTTGGTTTTTTTTCCACCCCTAGGAAGAAGCAAACTCATGGGCCCAGGGCAACCCATTTATTTCTCTTACTGACTTTCTCCCCAGGCTTTGGTGTCAAGAGGGATCAGTGAGCTGCTCATGACTGCAGACGATGGCCTGAATCTGAGAAAGGGCCACTTGAAAAACGGTATGATATTGATTGCACTTATTTCTACACTGGCCAAGTTGAAAAAGCACAGGTCTTTCTATACGTCATCCTTCCAATTCCTGGTGGTAAGAACTTGTGGTCAAAACTGAGTTAGGACGTAGGGCCCAACCTTGGTGCACAGCAGCTGTTATGACCAGAGCGTTACTCCTCCCTTTCAAATGTTGAGTGGCCTAGCACAGGGAACAGTTGGGGCACAAGTAAGTTGTCTCCAATTCTGACAAGAGTCCCTGACTGAACCACACAGAATGGAGGGGTTTCAGAGCAGTCGTACTGCCATGGACCCAGCCCTGGCTGTTCTAGGAACAAACGAGTCCAGAGAATAAAAGCAGGGTTGGGAGTCGGGTGGGAGGGAGTAAATGTCAGGGTAGAGCACTTGCTTAGCATGTGTACATGGGATCAACATGCAAAGAGGAGAGAATGGATGCATAGGGACCAAGATTATGAAAAGCAATAGAGCAATTCTTGAATTCTTCTCTCTAAGTGATTTTGTCAACTCCATTCTCTTCCAATGCTCTCGTCCATAATTTTGTGTGTGTGTGTGTGTG